TCTTTTTTTGGAGGGGGGGGGGGGGGGGGGGCAAGGGGAGCAAAGTAGACGGCGGCGACGGCGGCAGCGAAATGCGCTGTTCAAGCACGAGCTACTACAGCTGTAGCAGAGTCCGGGGAAAACTCAAAACCTAAAGGACTTCTGCCCTATAATAGAGGGGAGTACACGTCATGTGACGCCCTACTCCCCCAGCACACCCGACCACCGCAACGGCGCATACAACGGGGGGCTCGGGTTCGGTACCGACCACCCTGTATCAAACGAAACCCTCCTGCTTGTCCCATCATGTATACCTGGCGGTAGAGCCGCTTCTCCTCCATCTCCTCATCGTGCTTGGAGAGAGAGTCCGTCCCGTCGTTTCTAGCCGCAGCTGCCGCCGCCAAGCTCGCCAGCCATCGCCGCTGGGCCGCCAGGGAAATCTTCGTACCAAACAAGAAATACACCAGAGAGAAAGAAAGAGAGAGAGAGAGCGAGAGAGAAAGACCAGAAAATGGGGTAAAAACTCAACGTTGGAAGCGCCAACAACAGCATGAGCACGACGGCGGGGCAATACGTACTGCTGCTGAAGCGCTGCTACTGCTGTTGTACTGCCGACACACGCAAAACATCGAGATGGCTACTGATTACAATTCTCATTCGGTGTGCTGGCACAGACAAGACTGTGGCGGTACGGGCCTGAACAAGCCTCCGTCCAGTGCTTACCCCCGCAAGTCCCACGATTTTCCAACCCCCCAAACCACCTCAGAGACCCCAGATAAACTCACACAAATCACCCGCTCAACACAACACACCGCAGCACCCCAGACTGCACTCTCAAGCCCTACGCCCCCCCGTCCTCTCGAGGACGCGTGGTAAAGTGATCTTAACAACTAAGGCACGCAAAAAACGAGCACACCCTCCCGTCCTCTTTACTAAGCAGTAGCCTTAGCGAGGACATCAAGCTTGGTCCTAGCAAGGGGTACGGGGTAGGGGTAGCGCTAGGGATACGAACCCCCCCGCTCTTCCTTCATACCGCTCAATAATAAAATCCCCATTACAAATGCAGTCCTTACCAAGACGAGCTTGTCGAGCAGCTGCTGGAGGTCCGCGTCCGGCACGTCCATGGCCGCGCGGGCGGCCGGGCACGGCGGCGGCATCGGCGGCAGCGCTCTCGCCACCAAGTTCGCGCCCCCGGCGGCGGCGGCGGGAGTAGCGGCCGTCCCTGTCGCCTTCCGCACCCCCGTACCACCGCTGCCGCGGCCATCCCTCCCTCGCCCCACCCGCGGCGCTTGCGGCGTCAAGACTTGCAGCGGGGGGTAGAACAGGCACGTCTTGAGGATGCGGAGAACGGAGGCGTGGCCTAGGGTAACGTCGCGGTCGCCGTCGGTGGGGGCGGCCATGGCCACCTCCAGCACGCGGGCGAACCCACCGCCCTGGAGGAACCCGGAACGGAACTCGTCGGTCTCTGCCGCCCACGGCACGGCACCGAGGACTTGCTGCGTTTCATGTGCGAAAAACAAAAATTTTGTTGTTCGGCGCGTGCGGTGAGAAGGACAACGGAGGAAGGGTGGAATCAGGGGTGAGAATCGGGGACTGTACTCGTGGACATGCTCAACTCACAAATACTCAACAAGCTTGTTAGTGACGGGGATCGGGAATATCACAACCCAGAGTTCAGTCATTCTTAGCTGGTGATCGCTTTCAGGTGTGCCCATTCTTCTAGGGGCTTCGGTCGGGTAGCAACCCTGTGTCTCCCACACGAAAAGTCCAGGACACCTACACCCTGCTACTCCCCCCCCCTCTCCCTCCCCCTTTCCTTCTCCCCACTCCACAACAACAACCCACCGGCGCCGGGAGCAGGAGCGCGTCGATAATCTGCAGCGTGTACACCGTCTTGTGCCAGTTGCGCTCCAGCGGCAACAGCTCCGCCCACGCGGCCGGCGCCACGCCGGGCCCGTTCGCTCCTCCCGCCCGCTCTTCCGCGGCACCGACGTCCTCTTCCTCCATGGCCGACGGCCCCTCCGTCACGGCAGCCGCGGCGGCGGCGGCCGTGGCGAGGGCGGTCTCTTTCACGCGGCGCGCCAGCTCGTACTGGGTTGGAAGAGACATCAGGAGGTCCCACACGGCCTTCGTGATGGCCGGGTCCTACACAGGCGGCGGCGGGGGCACGCATCGCCGATTCAAGTGCAATTAGGGGAAAGGAGGGCGGCGAAGGGCAGGAGGGGGATGCGATCGGTCTCGGGCAACACTGATTGAGACAACCGGTTGTCCTTTGAACGTACCGCAACGGTAAGTGCGGGGAGGAAAGTTACTTGGCCAAAAAAACTACCTAGGCGGAATGGTTTGAGGCAGCCAGGGCGTGATACCACGCAAAATTGCCTTCCACAGACGCTCAAGGTCAATCATGTGACTCAGTGATGCACATTATCAAACGAACGGCAAGCGGGAAGGGCTGGCACCCCTCCGAAGGGCCCCAACTTCAGAAAAAGATCGTGTCGTTAGAAAAACATATCGCACATGAGACCACAAAGGTACGCTGAATCAGAGCGCAAAAGCAGCACGGCTTCCACACGTTTCTTCCACGCAGCCAACAAAAGAGGCTCAGGCATCGTAATAGTCCTTCACAGAAACACAGCAGCAGCGCTGGCTGGTGCATCCGCAACAACACCCCACCTGCAGACCATGAGCGCACTCCAGCAATCGGAAGAGCTCCTCGAACGGCCCGCTCTGCCTGGCGATGACGTCTCCGTCGTGCGCCGCCACCCCGGCACCGGCACCACCGGCGGCAGCGGCGGCGGCAGCAGCCGCGGCGGCCGCGGTCCTCCGCGCCAGCTCCTCCAGCCGGAGCCTCTCCGCCTGCTGCTGCTGCTGGTGCCCCGCAGAGCCGCCGACGCTCACCCCGCGGATGAGCGCCGTGGGGCTCGGCAGGGTCCACAGGCTGGCCCCGTCCTTGATGCCGGCGTCGGCGACCGTCGCGGCGTCCACCTGGATCGTCTTCCCGCCCGACAGCAGCCGCGTGAAGTCCGCCGCCTGCCCCGCGCTGCTCGCGACCCGCGCCCGAAGCGACCCCACCGTCTCCAGCGGGTGAACCTCGAGCAGGAACCTCTCGGGCGGGCCCGAGGTCCACGCGTGGGACGCCGCAGTTGCCGGAATCGTCGTCGTCGTCGTCGTCGCCACCGGCGCCGGTGCCGACGTTGTTGTCAGCGGCGGCGGCGGGGCGTGCATCGACGGCACGGTCGACGTCGTCGCCGCCGCCGCCGCCGCCGCCGCCGCCGCTGCCGCCGCAGCGGTGGCCACGGCCGGGGAGGTGCCCAGGTGCTTCGCTGCTGTAGTCTTGACCAGCACCGTCACCTCCCACGGCAGCCCCATGCCGCGGTTGCTGTGCGCCGGGGTCATGATGCCAGGGGCCCCGCGGATGACCCCCTGCACCAGTCCCAGGCACCGCTCGAGTCGCACCCTCACCGCCTGCTCCTCTCTCTCGCCGCCGCCGCCGCCGAAACCACCGCCGCCACCGCCGCCGGAGGCGGCGGCGAATTCAAAGGCTCC